CCGTCTCGTAATAACAAGTCTTCAGTATACAATCATTTGGTTTCTAGTACTGACTGTTGTCGTACTTATTCTGATTCCTGTTTTTCTGTTTTGTGCCGTGCTCGTCATGGTTATCTTTTGCAGTTACAAGTTTTGGAAGCTGTTTGTCAGCGCATTCATAAGCCGAATTTGTGTGTCCAGAAAGATAGTGTTATTACCCTAAAATTGTTCAAATAATGTTCTGTTGTGTAGTGTGGCAACGTTGTTGCCACTTGTGCCTAAATGTGTTTTGTCACCTTCTTGTTTATTATTGTTATTATTATCATTCGTTCTCACTTTTTTTGTTTTTGTTTTTTGTTGCTGATACACACTTGTCACGCTTAGTTCTTACTTGTATACCCTTGTTTTCTGCACACTTTTGTGAGAAATCGCACCTCGATATTCTAGTGCTGTCATTGTATCGTGTCACCCTACCTTGATTGCTATATTATTTCCTTTGTTCTCATTTTGTTCTTTAGTACAACGGTGATTCCTGAAGAGTGTTGTACGAAAACTTGTTCGAATCATCTTTTTTTTCCATTGCCCTTTTTCTTCTTACATGTATTTTTCCTTACCCTTTAGGTTGTTTCTTGCATCGTCTCCATCGCTTACATTGTTAATAAAGTAGTCCACATGTCGCTTCAGCTCGTCCTACTTATTGCCATATTAAAATTATTATTATTATTATTATTATTATTATTATTATTCAAAGGATCAGTCGGGGAAGTGAACTGCCTGAAAAGAGAAAAAAACGCCAGACCCACCAGGACTCGAACCTGGGACCCTGCTTGTCATGAGCAATGCTCTAACCACTGAGCTATGGGACCAGGCTGAACCCAGAAGGCGCTGACAAGTTTTTCACTCCAAAGGCAGCTCACAACACGTGCCACACATACTGATGGCACTTGGGTCTTTTTCCCTCTCCCAGGGGACCAACCACGGTCAGTTTCTGGAAACTACCAGAGGTGAAAGAAAGTGATTAAATTTGGAAAGGATTGGGAGAACTTCAAATTCAAAGGATCAGTCGGGGAAGTGAACTGCGTGAAAAGAGAAAAAAACGCCAGACCCACCAGGACTCGAACCTGGGACCCTGCTTGCCATGAGCAATGCTCTAACCACTGAGCTATGGGACCAGGCTGAACCCAGAAGGCGCGAGTGAAAAACTTGTCAGTGAAAAACTTGTCAGCGCCTTCTGGGTTCAGCCTGGTCCCATAGCTCAGTGGTTAGAGCATTGCTCATGACAAGCAGGGTCCCAGGTTCGAGTCCTGGTGGGTCTGGCGTTTTTTTCTCTTTTCACGCAGTTCACTTCCCCGACTGATCCTTTGAATTTGAAGTTCTCCCAATCCTTTCCAAATTATTATTATTATTAATATTTACACTACGACATTGCAGAGTTTAAAGATTAGTATTCCGCTAGCTTTGCAAAAGACGTTACTTCAGTAACGTCTGGTGCTAGCCAGGGTCCACGCAGCTTTAAAGGGGAAGTTAAGGCAAAAATTAAAATTTCACCAGTTGTAGTCTTCGGGGTGCTGAGTCGAATGGTCGTGGTCCGAGGAAGCTGAGACGCTCCCTTCCTCCTTTATTCCCAATCGAACTCGCGTGCATCCACCGAAACTGGGTGACTGCGCCCTACTAGATGGGGATTTGTATGCAAAATGTCACTAAAAGCGCCATTTCGTTCTTATAAAAGCACGGATGACCGCGATTGGCCCATATGTTGTAGTCTTTTGGACGCTGAGTCGACTGGTTTTGGTCCGAAAAGGCTGCGATGCAGCGTTCCTCCTTTATTCCCAATCGAACATGGTTGAACAAGCGGTCACGTGCTCCTGGGTGCCCAAATCACCTGGTCACCGCGCCAGCAGGCGACAACTTTCACACCAAGGTTCAACTCGAGTGACAGGACTGCACCCAAAAAAGGTCAAACAGGCTAGTAAGTTGTACCCTGCAGGCACGGTGACCCGTCAGGCGAAATAGCACGTCATAGTACATTTGAGATCAGCGGGAAGAAGATGACGACGTCCACTAATTTAGTATCTGTGCACACGAATCTGCTGTGTGTGTGACTCTGTGTGTCAGCTATGATATCATCTTCTGTGGTTCCATGCCTAGCATGTATGTCTGGACCATCCTGCAAAGTTTGAATGACGTAGGTTGAGCGGTCGCTCCGCGAAACACACTTTTTGAAATTCTCTTCATAGTATATTTTCCACCATTGAAATTTCAAATTTCTTCAAAAAAAGTGCTGAGAGGAGTGGCTTGCAACCTCGATATGGCTTGTTCCAGGCATGCTTTGGAGCCATCTTCTGTTGAAGTAGTGGCGGGGATCTGCCCTGCAACTGCTACAACAAAAAATGATTCGATCTGAGAAAGGGTGAGACCGCGAATCTCGGTTGAATATTGAGTATTTCAAGCCTTTTCACGACGAAGATGGAGTTCTTTTTGGAGATGGACGTCGCGGCAAAGGACATGGTGTCCGACTTCTGGCGTCTGGTGAAGCCAGGGATCATTTGTCCAGTCAGGTCGGCAGCCTAACCGTCGGTAAGCTTGTGTTTGGATCCCGTTCTGCTCGATGTGGTAGATCACAAACAATTTGATATCGCACAAATTGATCTCAGCATCGTGCGTACGGTATTTTATATTCAGAAAATCCCAAAGTGTCTCTGTGTGGCCGTCCTATGCCACGAGAAACTCCAATCATCCTCCGATGTCCTCTGCCTTCATGATTGAATGTCCACTTCGTTTGAACAACGAACACAACAATCGAGGACGGCTTTGCAATGAAAAATACAGCTATACTGGAGCTGAAAAAAAGAAGAAAAAACGTGCTCAGGATGAGACTCGAGTACACGCATACTCTCCCAGCAGGAGAAACGCAATTTTTTGTGAAAAATGCGTGTCGCCGACTGACCAGTAATTTCGCCTGACGAGGTGACTGGTGTACGCAAGAGCGCGTGACCGCTTGTTCAACCATGTTCGATTGGAAATAAAGGAGGAACGCTGCATCGCAGCCTTTTCGGACCAAAACCAATCGACTCAGCGTCCAAAAGACTACAACATATGGGCCAATCGCAGTCATCCGTGCTTTTATAAGAACGAAATGGCGCTTTTAGTGACATTTTGCATACAAATCCCCATCTAGTAGGGCGCAGTCACCCAGTTTCGGTGGAAGTGCGCGAGTTCGATTGGGATTCAAGTAGGAAGGGAGCGTCTCAGCTTCCTCGGACCACGACCATTCGACTCAGCACCCCGAAGACTACAACTGGTGAAATTTTGATTTTTGCCTTAACTTCCCCTTTAATTCCGTATTTTTTTGTGCCTGATGACGTCGGCATGCCTGGCGCTATCCCGTACATGTCCCGTACCGTACCATCAAAGACGCAGCCCGTATGTGTTATGTAACATAATGCGGATTGTTTCGTTTGTTTGTTTGTGCCTGACGACGTCGGCATGCCGGGCGCTATCCCGTACATGCCCCGTACCGCACCATCAAAGACGCATCCCGTATGTGTGTGTAAAAAGTAAAAAGGACCCAGGACTAAACAATCAGCTCATGCGAGCGTCGGTCAGTGTCGTGCAATGTTATCGCATGAGCTGATTGTTTAGTAACTGGTAGTGTTAGTGGACATTATAGTGTAACTTGTAGTTCCTTGGTCCTTTTTACTTTTTTACACGGCGCCATGTAATGGGAATATGGCGCGAACGCCAGACTTGCTGACTTTCCGTAGGCGGGTGACTAACTGCTTTGTGAGGCACGGAAAAAAGGAATTAGATGCATAAGTGATCCTAGACTGAATTATTGCTATGTACCATAGGCAGCGGGCAGTGATTGACAGTGCTCGTCCATGACGCCAGAGCTGTCCCACAGCAACAGACACTTTGCGTACAACTTGTTCAATATGCAGTTGCCAAGAGAGTTGGTCATCCACAAAGACTTCAAGATACTTAGCTGTTGTGGTGACTGACAGACGGATATCGTTGCAATAAATACCAGGCAGGGGGCTGGATGAACAACACTTGCGTTTTGGCGGAGTTCAGAACAAGTCCAATACTGCATGCAAACATAATGCGAATTGTTCTGTTGTTTTTTTGTTTTTGTTTTTTGTGCCTGACAACGTCGGCATGCCGGGCGCTATCCCGTACATGTCCCGTACCGTATCATCAAAGACAGCTGGCCACCCTATTCAACTAGGGCTTTCAACTGCAAGATCATAACGTGAAGCAACATGGAAGAATGTGTATGTATGCTAAGTGTATCTGGCGAATGCATGTAGGGCGATAGTGCGGGTTTGGATCCCATGTTATGTCTTTAAAAAATTGGATCGAGGAGGGTTTCTTTTTTGAAATATATCCATAGCTGAAACATCAATTCAATCCAGCTGTCAAGTAAATTATAATATTTTTGGTTCCGGGGTGGACGTTGCAGGATCTAACTACACTTCTTCGTTCCGTGAAAATGTCAACAATGTCGGATGACACCTAAAAGAATTCGCTAAAGTTCGAATTCTTTACCTGCAAAAGCAATGTGCACAGTTAGTATGTGCAGTCTTTTGCCTGTTTTGACACCCAGAATTTGTTAATATTTCTCTTCGCTAACCAACAGAAGTCCAGAAATCGTTATTGTTAAAAGGGTTAAAATTATACAGAATCAAAGATAGGTGGTGTTGCAGTACATGGCCCACCATCTAAAAAGGCAAATTCAGGCATACCCGGTTTCCTACCTTAGTTGATGATAGTCTGGATCTGCTAATGCTTATCTCTGCTAAATGCTTTCGGCACTGTTTTTGGAGGATTGTTTTTCTGCTGGTCACTTTTTATGATTGTTTCTTTCTTTCTTCTATTTAAAAATAAAAGAAAGAGAGAAACAAACATGAAAATTGACCTGCAGAGCAGGTATTTAATAACATCTCAAACCTCCAAATCTTGACAAGCCTTTTTAGATGGTGGAGGGCAACAAAACCAGCATACACTCAACTCTTTCTTACGCTCAAGAACAGGATGTTTGTCTGGGCTCTGCACCGGACGGTAATACCCTGTGCACGAAAGATGAAGCGCAAGGAACAACAATTATTGAAATAGACACCATGGAGGCAAACATTTAATAATGACGAATAATAAATCAGTTGTGCTGTCATAGTACAGTCAGACCTCGCTTAACCGCACACATCCGTTCCCCACAAAAATATCCGGATAGGCGAGGGAACCGGATAACTGAACACCGTTTATGTTGGATGCATCACGTATGCTGTAAATATGTAACCGGCTATTCTCTTCCGGATGGCGAGGGATCCGGATAAAAGAGGACCGGATAAGCGAGGTCTGACTGTAACAAGCACATGACAAGTCGACAGTGCAGGATGTGCTGCATGCACTTGAGTGAGGTGTGCTTTACCCGCACGGCAGTATTCTATGCTCCACACCTGTCAATATGAGCACATGGAAGTGCAACCATGCACATGTATGTAAACAATCCGATATTCCACGAATGTATGGGACCTGGTTCTAAAGACCACCTGGCTTTAACGACCGCTTTTGCTTGCACCGTGGGGGTGGTGGCTCAAACCAAGTGTTACTGTAGGTGATAACTGATTAAAGTGTTAAACTCAAAAACAAAAACTGCAAGTTGTAGACAAACCTGTTGAAACCATCACGAGGTGTGACACCAAACAACTGCAACGATAACACATTCCCCTTCTATTATAGTTATGTGTTTATTTCCAAACTTCCAACATTCCCTGTGCTATCCTGAAGAGAAGGGAAAGAAGGCGTTTGATAGAAGGAAGTGTCTACTTGATTGTGTGGATTCGCGTCTCTGAATGCCAAGGTATAGATTGCAATACACTAATGTAATAACTAAGATTACTACAGGTGGAATCCTGATAATTCGAATATGGCTTAATTCGAACATCCCGCTTAATTAGAAGTTTTTCCAGGACCGATTTCTGTCAATACGATTCCCACACAAAAAATTTTGATAATTCGAACCTCGAACCGGACATGTCCGGTTAATTCGAAGTTCCACGGATTCCACTTTATATAAAAAATGTGTGGGATTTGTGCTGATAATTCGAAGTTAGCAAAGTGTGATTCGAAGTTCACTGTACACTGTACTGGTCAGTTCAGTATCCGTGAAATCTGTGTCTAAGATCCATAGCGCAACTCTGCGTGACCATGGGAGCATTTTGACATACAATTGTGTTGTGGGCTCATGTGTGGATAATTAGAATGTCCGGATAATTAGAAGTGTTTTGCTGGCATTTGGAGGTTCGAATTATTAGGATTCCACCTGTACCTAGAATGGTTAGTCTCCGCATGCATCTATGCAAGAACGCACCACCGGCCAATTAGGACATGCCTATTAATAAGTACTATGCAGCTGTTCGTAGTGCCCTATGCCTAACCCAGTCTAAACTGGCAGCCACACCCCATATGCTTCACCACTACATCAGGCGAAATAGCATGTCATCGTATATTTGAGACAAGCGAGAAGAAGATGACGACGTCCACTAATTTAGTATCTGTGCTCGCGAATATGTTGTGTGTGTGTGACTTTGTGTGTCAGCTATGGCATCAGACCGTGTGGTGCCATGCCTAGCATCAAGAGTACATAACCCCCAGGTTATGCACTCTTGCTAGCATGTAGGTCAGAACCACCCTGCAAAGATTTATAATATATGCCGTAGGTTGAACGATAGCAGGACAACCATACATTTTGAAATTCTCTTCGTAGTACAGTCAAACCTCTTTAGGACGAACACCAAGGGACCGATGATATTTGTTTGCAATAACAGGAGTTCTTTTTATCCGTATGGTTTACCCAGTGAATACACAGTGATTTATCCAATGGAGTTACGAATACTAGTTCTTCTTAAGCAAACATTTGTCTTAACAGTGTTCTTCCTAACGAGGTCTCACTCTACCTTCCACCATTCAAATTTCAAATTTCTTGATGAGAGGGGTGGCTTGCAACTTCAATATGGCTTGTTCCAGGCATGCTTTGGAGCCAGACTCTGTTGAAGTAGTGGCGGGATCTGCCCTGCAACTGCTACAACGGAAAATGATTTGATCTGAGAAAGCGTGAGGCTGACAGGCTCGGTTGAATTTGGAGTATTTCAAGTCTTTCGACATGAAGATGGAGTTTTTATTGGAGATGGACGTCGCGCCAAAGGATATGGTTTCCGACTCCTGGTGTCTGGTGATGCCAGGGATCATTTGTCCAGTCATGTCCGCAGCCTAACCGTCGGTAAGCTTGTGAGTAGGATCCCGTTCTGCACGATTTGGTAGATCACAAACAATATTGATATCGAACAAATTGAACTCTGCATCGTGCGTACGGTATTTTATATTTAGAAAATCGCAGAGTGTCTCTGTGTGGCCGTCGTGTGCCACGCGAAACTCCAATCGGGCTCTTATGTCCTCTGCCTTCTTGAGTGAGTGATCCACTTCGTTTGAATAACGAACACAACAATCGAAGACAGCCCAGAGGAGTCACCATCGACCACACCTGAACTGGAAGCAGCAACAACCCTCCTCATCAGCGACAAAAATTGAAATTGGAAATGAACAAAAATAGCATCTCCTTTCTTTCCCTCAATGCCCGCAGACTCTTCCCCAAAATGGATGAACTGTCAGCAATAGTATCGTCAACAACATAAATAAAGAATTCAAAAACAACGCCACCTTATGATGTCATTGCTGTCTCTGAAACATGGTGTACCCAGCATGACCCAGACTCCCTGTTTTCCCTCAATGGTTACACACTACATCGTGCAGACCGCTCAGATCACCAAGGTGGAGGAGTAATTCTCTACGTGAACAACACAATACCTCACGAGCTTGTCCCTACAACAACCCCAGACAGCTTTGATCTACTATCGCTGAAAATAGGGAGGTTTCGCTCTACGGAATTACGTATGAAAATAACGTATGAACTGCACGGAATTTTCATACGTAAAAATCAGAGCTGTTGGGTTTCGCTCTACGTGATTTCTCCACGACTGCTAAACATGCGTTGTTGCTTTGGAGACGCGTTGGCTGCATGCGCCCACCGTATGCACCATGAACCGAAACCGCGTTTTCCATGATATTATGCACGTGGTGTACGGTGTGTGTACCATGTGTTTCGCGCGGCTTGAATGTTGCCATGGACAAATGCGGAAAATGCGAAAAAATATTTCAAAAAGTCCTACGGAGGACCCAACGTAGGAAAGAGCTTTCCTACGGAAATCCGTAGAGAGATTTCAGATGAAAGTTGCCCTCGCTCCCCGGCGCGTACGACATACGGATTTTCATACGTAATTACGTAGAGCGAAACCTCCCTACTGTCAGCCAACGACGCCACCGTTAGCGCAACATGCGTCTACCGACCACCCCGCTGCGACCATCGTCTATATTGTCAGCATACTGAGGAACTGATCCAAACCATACCAACAACAACAACGGGACCGAACTGCAACTCGCAGGGATCGTCCACCAGATATCCACAGCTAGGGATGCGGGGAAGCATGTTGTAACGTGTTTCTTCGATCTCAGTAAAACCTTTGATCGTGTATGGCATCAAGGCTTGCTGAAAAAGCTGAGCCACTACGGTGTTGACGGCAACGCTCACAAGTGGCTCGAAGCCTACCTGACAGGACGCAGACAGCGGGTGCGGGTTGAAGGCATAACATCCGCCTTCATACCAATACCAGCGGGAGTGCCACAGGGCTCTGTCCTGGGACCACTTCCGTTCCTGGCGTACACCATTGACCTGTCCACTGCCTGTGAAAATGCTACAACCTCGTGTAGCCAGTTCGCTGACGACACCGCACTAATTGCCATTGCAGGCAGCTACATTGAGTGTGAGGCTGCGCTACAAAGAAGCGTCGATGCCGCAGCAGAATGGCTAGAGCGCTGGCACCCGCTAGTCAATAAAACGAAAACCGTCATCCTCCCGTTCTACCATGCTAACCGACCCCCACCACGACTACCCGAAATCAAACTTGGGCAAACCCTACTAGAAACAGTAACACAACATCGTCACCTCGGCATCTTCTTTCAGCACGACCTAAGATGGTCAGCCCACCTTGACTTTGTGCTGAAGAAAGCCGTAAAATCTTTTAATATTCTCTTCAGGCTCAAATCAACTCTACACACTAAATCACTCTCTCTCATTTACAAAACATAATATATCCTGCCTATAATTGAATATGCATGCATTGCTGTCACCCCGCTCTCAATCGCAGCCCTTGACCGTCTTGAGCGAATCCAGCGCAAGGCGGCCAGAATCTGCCTCCGTCTCCCCCTCTACACTCCTCTGAATCATTCAACACTGCTCCATCGGCTCAAATGGCCGACAATGTTCTCTCGCCGCAAAGTGAAGCTCACCCTTCTTGCCCACTCCATAAAATACCAATATGCCCCACAACACATACGCATGCTCAACACCCCCGCTCAAGTTACGGCTGTTCAAAGAGCACATCACGTTTGCAAAGATGGGAGCCTTCAGCAAACTCGAGTACCCGTAGTGACTTAGTGTCGATCTTGGAGCTGGCAACAAGAACGGGCGGGCAGATGTCCACTTTGTCTTTTGCTGACTTCATAAAAATTACGTTGTCACCGAAGAACCAGCTCAAACATAATTAGGGGTGAAAGTTGGCACCGAGATCCCGAGTTCGAGTACTCTGATTTTCTCCGATCGAATATTCGAGTATTCGAGTATTCTTCATCCCCTAAAAATTGCACACCAAGGGCCTTAAAATCACATGATACAACCCTGATTGAACAGAGTAGCAGTCATTTTTCTCGGGTATATCGGTTTGTTGGTCATTTGGGCTCTCTCTACTCGTGAACAAATGTTCACCACACAGTCTGCACCTCAATATCTGCCGACTGCTGCTCTGAAACTGCAGATTTCTGTGATAAATGCATGCACCATGTATGAACGAGTACTCTGATTTATTCCGAGTACGATTATTTTTGAAAAAACCGAGCGAGTACTCGAGTACTCGGTATAATTGTTTCACCCCTAAACATAATCTTTATGAAGTGTGCAGAAATATTGCACGCTCACAGTCAACTAGTCACACAGTCCCAGTTACAACCCTGCTGAAAAAGCAACCGCCTTGAACGCTTTCTTCATCTCGCGGAGCCAACAGTCAGTCACAGGGTGCCAGGAGGAAACTCCCCTCCATTCATTTCCCCACACCCAATACACCTGGTCTCACTACACTTGAAACAACAGCCCCAGAGGTTTCAAAGCTACTGTCTAACCGAGACCCATCAAAGAGCCCAGGTTGTGATGGCATAACAACCTGCCTACTTCAAGAGGCTGCCAGTTCACTTGCGCCATCCCTAGCAACTCTTTTTTTTACATCTCCCTTGAACGTTGCATTATCCCGCAAGAGTGGAGGGACGCAACAGTCACCCCCATCCACAAGAAGGGCAGCAAAACCGAGCCCTCCAACTATCAACAGAGGAAATTGTTGCCGTGGGTGGTGTATCTCATTCAGGCGCAATGGAGCTGCAGTCAAGGGACTTGGAAGCGCTTCTGTTGCTTCTGCTTAGGGTCTAGTCTTTATCTTTGGATAGAGCGGGTCACATGCTTTGCAGAGAGCTCAAGATCATGAAATTCCACCACTGGTGAGTGAATTATGGAATTTTGAAATCGACTGTCGCAAACCGATACATTCTCTGTTTCGAGTTATTTGCATGTGTATGTTGTGAGTGGATCACGACTGATACGATTACAACGATTGTCTAGTTAGTCTAGTGTTTTTACGACGCACGCATTGAGACGCTCGAATTATTGCTAGAGTTCCTTACCTGAGATGTATTTTCGCTGCGATTGAAGTCCGCTGTAGAAGTGTTAGGATTATTTACCACTACCTGACAGGGTTTGCTGTCACCCAGCGTCGGGTGCTAACACCCTCTGGCAGGTGTAACCCTTCAGCTGCATTCTTTTCTTCTTCCTTTCACAACCGTATTTTGAATATTTCTGTTTGTTTGATTTTGTTCTGCACCTGGTCGTTGCTTGCAGACCAGTCGCCATATTTTCTATAGTTACGCTGACTGTGCAGTCAGGCGCATACGCAGGGGGGGTTCCCGTTGCCCGGAAACCCCCAAATGTTCCAAACGAGCAACGTTTTTTGGGCATTTTTGGTAGGGCGCACGATCGATCTGGCAAGAATGCAAAACGTCAACAGATTGTAACTCAGTCGAATCTCGCTCAAACCCAACGATCCAAATGGCCTATAATATCCAGGTCGAATAGAAAACTCTCAGCAGTCGGTTGAAACAATTTGCGACGCGCTGCGAGCAATTTCTCTTGAGATAAATCATTCGTAAGTTGAGCCGTGATCTCGCAATTATTTCAAAAGCGCGCAGTGCGACTCGAGTATCGAGAATTTGAGACTTTTCGTCTGGCTGACTTGCTCAAAATTTGTAGGGGCTTCACTGGTGATATTTTCAAGAGTACACAGCAAAAATCAACACTCTGCGATCAAGAAAAACGAAATCGCTGGAGTGTTTGGGCCTTCGGGGCATTTTTTCGCACAGTCGCTGCACTCTACCGCTATAGCCATAGCGCTGGATATGTACATGACTGTACTAGTACTGTGTCCTGGCTATTATGGTCAACCTCATTCTCTCCCGGGTACCTTTCCACTTCCAGGAAGCCCAAGATATTGAAGATTTTTAATGAAGATTGAGTGAGTAGAACTGAAGTTATGATCCAAAGAACACGAAAAAATGCATAAGGCCATGGTAAAAAATAAAGTTGATTCTCAGGTCATGAGCCTGTGAAAATCGGTGCGAGCGAGCGATTTTTTATTTTATTTCCCACAATTTTTTTATTTCCAAAGATAGGGTCACACATATGTACATGGTCACATGTTCATATATTCAGGCCAGGGAGTAGAAAAATACCGGTATTTTACTACTCCCTGATTCATGCCTTTCGCATTGACCGTTTTCATGCACGCATATGCATGCATAGAAATATAAAAAATCGTCGGTGCGCCGCCAAAAATTGGTGCGCGCGTACTTGAGAATCAAAGATAATTTTTACCATGGCCTAATTTTGAAAATTTCCTAGGGCACTTTTAGAAAGGGTTATATAGGGTTTTACGTCGGGCCCTAGACGACGGCTACTTTGGCCAACCGGACAACAAAAAAGTTGAGACCAAAGAGAATGTTTTCATTTCCTGCGCATGCTTATGTAGAAATGACGGAATGACAGTAGTGAGTCAGGTCGCTACAGTACTCCCCCACCAGTGGTGAGGTCGGGAGGAGCGAAGCACGATAAACAAGAAAAAAAAAGAGAGAAGAGAAAGGAAGCCCGGCATGTACAAGGCGGAAAGAGAAAAAATATGATACAATATGTACAAGTGAGAGCGCTGCGTGTGTGAAATTTGTTAACAACGTGGCACAAATGCCGAAACAAAAATCAGAAAAGCAGGAAAGAGAGAGATGCATGACAGAGGCGGATTAACGTGTCAGAGGTGTGTTAACGTGACAGAGGTGGAGAGCATGTCAGAGGCAAAAAGAAAGAAAAGAGGAAACGTACGCGTGACAGAGGAGTATTATCGTGTCAGAGGCGGAAAGAAAGGAAAGAGGAACGTACGCGTGACAGAGGAGTATTATCATGTCAGAGGTGGCTGCATGTTGCAGGCTTGGCGGGGTACCAGCAGGAGCGCTGCACTGGGGGCGAGGCGTGCCGCGTGAGGCGGGGACAGGTGGAGGCATGCGCAGCTCCAAGTCCTGTGCCGGGCGTGTGCCTGCGTGCACAGTTGAGTTGGTAAGGATGGTGGAGGTGGCCAAATTCCAGCTTGAGGCCAGGACGAATACGGACGACGACTGGACGATGGGCCGTGGTAGGATAGCGGGGTATCCAGGTGGGCCGGGGAGGGTGGCAGGGGCCACAGCAGCTCCGAGGCGGATCCAGTGACGAGTGGTGGTGATGCCGCGTGAGGCGGGGACGGGTGGAGGCATGCGCAGCTCCACATCCTGTGCCGGGCGTGTGCCTGCGTGCACAGTTGAGGTGGTAAGGATGGTGGAGGTGGCCAAATTCCAGCTTGAGGCCAGGACGAATACGGACGACGACGACTGGACGATGGGCCGTGGCAGGATAGCGGGGTATCCAGGTGGGCCGGGGAGGGTGGCAGGGGCCACAGCAGCTCCGAGGCGGATCCAGTGACGAGTGGTGGTGAGGGTCAAGTTTTACGTCAACAGCCGGCGATTGACGGGATCCCGAGAGTTGAGGCGAGCAGGAAACTGCGGCGAGCCGAGCTCGGGCATGGCATGCTCAAAACTCCGAAGAGCGTAGCGTCTGGGGTCACCAATATAGGGTTTTACGTCGGGCCCTAGACGACGGCTACTTTGGCCAACCGGACAACAAAGAAGTTGAGACCAAAGAGAATGTTTTTATTTTCTGCGCATGCTTATGTAGAAATGACGTAATGACAGTAGTGAGTCAGGTCGCTACAGTTAAAACGATTGTTTGGGATTCGGTTGGAAACCCCCCTAGAGGTGACCCTGCGTACGCGCCTTGCAGTCGCGTACTCATGACGTAGTAGTGTAGTGTGTCTTCCAGAAGCCGTGTCAGATTTGTACTCTTGACCCTTTCGCTTTCTTTCACATCACGTATCCATATCTATTCCACGGGAGCTTTTTGTGAACCCGCGCGGTCGCGCGCAGGGTTCCCCGCATCTTGCTGTGTTGTACGATAATTTGGTACTACGTTATTTTCTTTATCCTTTTCTGGGCATCTTGGACCTTTTCGGGTCTTCTTGTTCAGGTTTTCTTGTCGTTTGTCTCTTTGTCTTTCAATCGAGTGATTGTTGGAACCAGGTAGCCTACGATGTCTCCCACGACCCTTGTGTGAAGTAATATTGAAGAGCCTTGTTGGCCACATCGACCATCCGTGGTTGCTCGCATCGCTGTGCGAGTGCCTGGGAAATCAGAAAACCCAGCTGGGCTTCAAAGGGTTAAAAAGAGCAGCACTGGCAATGACAACCACAAAGGCAGAACTACACCACTGGCCGTGCGGGCGCACTTACTCGGTATTGCTTGGCTAGCTTCCAGCTTCACCTGGTGAATCTCAAACCAGTCGCCAGGCGCGGTGGCGGTCCCGGTCCATTGTGGATAACAGCGTATGTAGCATGATGCAGTAGGGAGTGTGCAATTAGCTAGGTGCTGCTTAAACGCCTTGTGTTCATTGGCCGTAAGTGGATGGGGCCAACGATGTGTAATAGAAAACGTGTTTTGTACCCTCAGGCGCACTTGAGCATTATTGATTGCATGGCATGCTGCAAAGTTGAACTTAAGATTAATAGGAGTACGATCATAGAATATTTCGGGCTTGGTGACTTGAATCGCAGTATAATTGTCATTATGTAGAATTCGGATAGTGTTGATGGAGGCTGGAGGCAGATGAGCAAACAGAGAGAAATCAAACATTACCAATTTACCATACATGATTCACGAACAGACCGTAACATCGTCAGGCGAAATAGCGCGTCATAGTACATTTGACACCAGCGGGAAGAAGATGGCGACGTCCACTAATTTAGTATCTGTGCACGCGAATGTGCTGTGTGTGTGACTTTGTGTTTCAGCTATGACATCAAACCCTGTGGTTCCATGCCTTGCATGTAGGTCAGAACCGTCCTGCAAAGTTTGAATGATGTAGGTTGAACGATCGCGCCGCCAACCATACATTTTGAAATTCTTTTCGTAGTATACCTTCCACCATTGAAATTTCGAATTTCTTGCTGAGAGGGGTAGCTTGCAACCTCGATATGGCTTGTTCCAGGCATGCTGTGAAGCGAAACCCTGTTGAAGTAGTGGCGGGGATCTGCCCTGCAACTGCTACAACAAAAATGATTCGATCTGAGAAAGCGTGAGACCACGAATCTCGGTTGAATATTGAGTATTTCAAGCTTTTCACGACGAAGATGGAGTTCTTTTTGGAGATGGACGTCGCAGCAAAGGACATGGATTCCGACTTCTGGCGTCTGGTGAAGCCAGGGATCATTTTTCCAGTCAGGTCGGCAGCCTAACCGTCGGTAAGCTTGTGTTTGGATCCCGTTCTGCTCGATGTGGTAGATCACAATTTGATATCGCTCTTGCACAAATTGATCTCTGCATCGTGCGTACGGTATTTTATATTCAGAAAATTGCAAAATGTCTCTGGGTGGCCGTCCTATGCCACGAGAAACTCCAATCAGGCTCCTATGTCCTCTGCGATCTTGATTGAATGTCCAGTCCGTTTGAACAACGAACACAACAATCGAGGACAGCTTTGCAATGAAAAATACAGCTATACTGGAGCTGAAAAAAAGAAGAAGAAAAACGTGCTCAGCTTGAGACTCAAGTATACGCGTACTCTCCTAGCAGGTTCTGTGGATGTCGCTCATAGATACTTAATTTCGCATGACATGTGTTTTTTTGCGCTTTGAACTGTAATGATTTTCTTTTATGTTTTGTTTTGCCAAATGTACAATGCACTGTGCGCTGTGTGTGTACAAGGCTGCGCGGCTAGCAATGCTTTGCTACAGACTTTTTTTTCTGTTGAGTCCGTGATCTATGGTTTTCGCTTTCTTGCAGCTTTCACCGCTTCGCTGCAATAGTTGCTGTTCCCTTGAGGGCAAAATGCGATGCCTCCACTTTCGTAGATGATCTTGATGCGTGAGGCGCCGAGCGGACCTCGTGGCTTTTTGTTTTAGTTTCTTTTTGGGAGTTTTTTCAGTTTTCAGTTGAATTCTTTATTCTCACGATGGCACCATCGCCAATAAGAGATAAGTTTATGAGAAGGTGAGATGCTGTGGGTGGGGCTGTGGGTTATGCAGTTGGAAAGTGATTTACATCATTTTGAATTTTACAAGTATGGGAGAGGGTGAGCGCCGCAGGAGCAGACTGAGTTTATCAGCAGTGAGCAGATTTCTTGTTTGAAAGCAGGTCGGGAGGAACGTCACGAATGCTAGTGTTGTAGTACGTTATTTTGTGTACGTCGTGTGTACGTCATGTTGGTGCATGCGCGTGTTGCTGTGGTATGAAAAGCTGTCTTCGTCTTGAGTTCGTCATGTATAGTTGTGTTTCGTCGTCGTGTCAATAAACAGTCTTCTAAATGTAGTTATCGTCGTCCATTTGTACAAGTGTGGAGATGGCACGGAACTGGGAGCAGGAAGAGAAAGCGAGTTACAACATTGGTGGCAGTTACAACATTGGTGGCAGCGGTAATGGAAATTGTTGTACACTTCAACTTCTGGATTCGTCCTGCGTGGCCTTCGCTCCCAGTTTCCGATGTCATCTCCAGTCGTCCTATCGTCACAGTTTTGTCCGTCTTGAAGAAGTTCGTCCGTCGTCCTCGTCCTTCATCATTCGTCTCTCCCGTCTCTTGGCAGTCGTCGTCACTGGTGGTCCCGGACACGACGTAAAACTGTGCCCAGAAAACCTGAAAAAGAAAAGAAAAAAGAAGGATGGAAGGTGAAGAGAAGAAGAAGAGGCTGCAGAAGTGAGGATGTCGACGCTGAGCAGCGCTCCTGGAGATGGTGGACGACATGGCAGACGGCGTGAGGAGTTTCGTTGGTGAGAGGGTACGTGTGTTGTTGTGAATGTGATGAGAATGTGAGTTTTGTATTTTCTGTTCTCCCAACATTTTGTTCTTTATTATTTGCTCTCCTCGAGGGTAAAGAGGCGCCCGCACAGCGCGTGTGTTCTGTTTGTTTCTTTATTTGCTCTTCTATGAGGATAACTAGAGGCCCCCACAGAGCCAGTGGATTTTGTTCTTTTTGTTATTCATATGATTTGTGCTCTCACATTTTTAGAATTTTTGCGTGATCGTGAGGTGGTGTGTTGTGTGAAGTAGAGTTTTTGAGGTTATCAGTTCCTACACGTGTGACAGCGATCGTGGCTGGTGTTCTGGGTGGGCGGACAGAGTTTTTGTAATCTGCAGTGCAGGCAGAGGTATTTTATTTCTGGGTGTGACTGGTGTGGTATGATTGAGTGATTTGTGTGATCTTTTCCTCTTTTTACTCTGTTTTATTATTAGAATCGAGGACGATTCTACTCTTGGGAGGGAGTTATGTTGTAGTACGTTATTTTGTGTACGTCGTGTGTACGTCATGTTGGTGCATGCGCGTGTTGCTGTGGTATGAAAAGCTGTCTTCGTCTTGAGTTCGTCATGTATAGTTGTGTTTCGTCGTCGTGTCAATAAACAGTCTTCTAAATGTAGTTATCGTCGTCCATTTGTACAAGTGTGGAGATGGCACGGAACTGGGAGCAGGAAGAGAAAGCGAGTTACAACATTGGTGGCAGTTACAACACTAGCAGGGAGGGCATTGTAGTATTCTAGGTACTTCCTCCGTTAACAAAAACTTCGTGATGGATTTTGATGGATATGAAAACGCTTAGAACAGGTCAAGAACAGTTTGTATCGACTGCAAATTACTGGACGAAGGTGATTCAGCCTATGTACAGCGTTTTTACAAGAGAAACTGTTGGCTACGTAGCCATAGTGGTAATGTCGATTAAAGGAGTTTCTGGGTTTTTGTGGTCGGCCTGACGATGTTGAGTTGCGGGACCAAGTCGCACCGCAACATAGCCCTCTGGGAGTGGTGGATAATGGCAAAAACACTCAGACTGATTGTTGACCTGCACTATGTAAACAAACACCTTGCAGATTTCAAGTTTAAACTGGAAGATATCAAAACCGTTCTCGATATTTGCAGGAGTGGTGACTATGTATTTACTTTTGACTTGAAAAGCGGTTATCACCACATTGAAATCGCGGAAGAACATCGCAGATATCTTGGATTTCGTTGCAAAAATTGGCAGTCATTTCAAAGCATTTGAGTTTTGCGTGCTACCCTTTGGTCTCTCCACTGCACCGTACATTTTCACGAAATCGACGAAACCGTTGATGTCTCATTGGAGACGACAGGGTATTCGTTGCCAACTGTATAATATGGATGACGGGAGTGGGGGGCACGAGTCGTATCAAGGTGCTGTGGAGGTCTCAGAGAAAATGCGGGCTGACGTAATTTCAGCGGGCTTCACCCCTCATCCGAAAAATGCTGTTGGACGCCTGCTCAGAGAGTTGAAATTCTAGGCATGGAACAGCATTGGTTCTGGAGTCCCTGGCATTTGCTATTGAAGGCTGCACTTGTATTCAGCGCAGTGATAACCAGGCTGCTGTGCATATCCTCACTAATGGTAGTAGGCACAAGCATTTGCAGGTAGTGGCTCTATCAATCCATATGGTTTGCCAACAGCACAGCATCCAGCTTGTGGCGGAGTGGGTGCCCCGCAAGAAAAATGAGCTCGCTGATTATTTTTCCAAAGTTGTGGATGCTGATGACTGGAGTATCAATCCAGTTATTTTGGCTGGACGACAAATGGTGTCCACATACCATAGACTGTTTTGCCAGCATGAGCACAAAGAAAATCGACTGATATTGTTCACGGTGGTGGAACCCAGGGTGTAGTGCGGTGGATGCATTCACATTTCCATGGGAGGGAGAACACGTTTGGCTCACCACACCCCTGTACCTCATGAGCAGAGTTATTCAAATGGTTAAATATTACGAATGTCATGCAACTCTGATTGTGCCTAAGTGGGTGTCAGCCCAATGGTGACCATTGCTGTCCCGAGGGTCATCCTGGGGTCCGTGGGTGAAGGAAAATTGAGATCCCTCTGAGGGAAGACACATTTATGCAGGGCACTTGCCCCTGGAATTTGTTTGGGGAAGGGATTCCTAAGTGCAAGGTGTTAGCACTGAGGTTGTGTACGTACAGACAGTGCACATGCTGAGGCAGTTGTGTACCTATGTGTCTTTTGATGTTGTTGCAGTTGTGCGTAGGCTCCGGAGCCAGAAACGCATCCAAATTGGAGCCCCCCCCCGCTGTAGGCGGTCAGCTCATTACGCCGTGGCTTGCCTGCAAGTCGAGCAATGATGATGATGACGAGGATGATGTTGGTGGTGGTGATGAAGATGACGATGATGTTGGTGATGCCGCAAGATAGCGAATCACATAAACAACGGCCAGTAGTCAGAGACCGCATGTCCTACTCCAGGGCGAGGGGATTAGCACGAGCAGCACTGGCTGCTATCGGAGAGGATCCGGACAGGTACGGCGTGCACAGCCTACATTCCGGGGAGTGTCAGTAGCAGCTGCAGCAGGTGTGCCTGATCGTCTCGTCCAACGCCACGGCGGATGGAGAAGTGAAACCGGCATGAGATCATACTTTCCTGAGTCTTTGCCGAACCTGCTGAGAGTCTCACAAGCTGTGGGACAGTCAATTCAGTAAGCTTTTGTAGTTGTGCTTCTTTTTCTGCAGCTATGCTTTGTCAGCTTGCAATATGGCGGCCCGCAGCCAACCCTGCACTTGTTATGGCTGATGTGAGGCATGAGAAAGAAG